GGGGAGGGGGGAAGTAGAAGCCAATCCATTCCCCTGCAAGCAGGGCCACTGCTTCCAACCCATCCTCCCCTTCTGCACAGCAGGGGATGACAGCGGCAGCCAGAATACCTGTGCAGTAGCTCTGAGCCCCTGCATGGGGCTTATTAGGCAGCTATGCAGCTTGGAGGGAACCCTGTAGAGAAATGTGGCTTTTTTTCTTCTGTGGATGAAACTTAATGTGTGGACGCTTTTTCTGTGTGCGCAGATTTCTTCACTAGGCAAAATTGTCTTAGATGTGCAGCTAAAGATCGTTTTTTTTCCACTTTTCTTTTAGGACACTCATGATGAGACAGCTGTGCTGTGGCTGGATGAAATTCAGGATGGGATTCATCGGTCCAACAGGGACACAGAGGAGGCTCAGAAATGTAAGTTTCATATCAAGAGTGTCTATTACTCTTCATAATCAGGCACCCTCGAATTTTCTAGAAGATGCTTCAGCTGTAGAATGGTCACTATGTGTATGTGAGAGCGCATAGTGTGCCCTGGAGGAGTGTTTTAGGGGGAGTAGGTGTGCATAATGCAAGGTGAGGCTAGACTATGAGCTTATTGTAATGATGTTATTTTTCTACAGTATGAAGTCATCTTCTGAATACATCCCCACATCTGATTCAGTATTTTTTAACCACTGCAGTACATTGAGCAAATGTCTTCATCACATGTCACAAAGTAATGGCTAACCTAAATCTTTATCCTGAAGTTGCAACCAATTCATTACTTGTTAGTGTTTGTGTGTCTATGTGCGTGTGCATGCACAACTTAAATGATTTCATCCAGTTTATATTCTACTGTATTTGTGTATGCTAAATATAATCTGCCATTGGCTTTCCCAGTAATTCCATTTTATTAGATGCTTTTGGAGTCCCTCAAATTTGCACTGATTTTTACTAACCTAAACAATTTTGTACATCAGCATTTTTCACCTGTGGTGTTCTCTACAGCTTTCAGATACCCTAAAAAAATCTTGAACATTAGGTCTGGCACTGATTAATGGGCACCTCACTATTAACTTCCTTTTTGTCTTTAGAAACCATGGTTGGTTCCTGCTCTTTGCTTCCTATCTCAATCGTTTTTTCAGTTCCTGAGAGAATTTTTCATCTTATCTTATGGTTTTCAGTTTCTTTGATGGCCCGTTATAGACTTCTCAAAAGCCCTTTGAAATTCTTTCCACTAATTTCCTGTACAGAGCCTCCCTGGTCTGGCGCCCTTGGGACCTTGATCAGTCCCAAATTCTGGATTTTGCCAGGCCAGGGGAGGTGAATTCCAGCTCCTCTGCTGATGGACTCCTGGCTTTCCTGAGGTCCATCAGCAGACCCAGTGGGGCTTCCCTCCAGGCTCCATGCCCCCACCTGGCTCCCAGGCTCCCTGCTCCCTAGGCCCCGGTAGCTGGGCTCCATGTAACTGGTTAAGCTGCACAGCCAGTCCAACTCTGGCTGCCAGGGGAGCTCCATAACCATGGCTGGGATGAGCTGCTGGGTCCTGGTCTGGCTTCTGGGCCAGCTCTGCACCCCTGGACAGCGTGTGCCATAGGGCCAGGCTCTACTTTCAAAAATTGGGTTTGTTTAGTTTAGAAAAGAGAAGACTGAGGGGAGACATGATAGCAATTTTCAGGTATCTAAAAGGGTGTCACAAGGAGGAGGGAGTAAACTTGTTCTCCTTGGCCTCTGAAGATAGGACAAGAAGCAAGGGGCTTAAACTGCAGCAAGGGAGGTTTAGGTTGGACATTAGGAAAAAGTTCCTAACTGTCAGGGGGATTTAACACTGGAACAAATTGCCTAGGAAAGTTGTGGAATCTCCATCTCTGGAAATATTTAGAGCAGGTTAGGTAGACATCTATCAGGGATGGTCTAGACAGTATTGCATCCTCCGTGAGGGCAGGGCACTGGACTTGAAGACCTCTCGAGGCCCCTTCCAGTTCTAGTGTTCTATGATTGTATTCTTATTCTCGCATTCTGTGTAACATTTATCAGGTGAACCTACTAGCATCCTTTGTGTTGAAGATGAAAGCAAAGTAGCTGAGCCTTTTGTCACCTCCAGGCATCTGCCCCCACCCCACTCTTATTAGTAATGTTACATTTTTCTTTAAATTCTTTTTTTAACCCTGAAATGTTTCATAACATATATTCTTCTTGTCTATTTCTTTAATTTTTAATATAAACGTATCACAATAATGACATTACATGACTTAAAAATGCATGCTCACTCCACTTACCCACATGCCTGAAGCAAGAGCTCTGGAGTGGGGAACTCTGACAGTGCGAAGTTCTATGCCATTGGCTCTAGGATGGCACATGGTGCATCTCCACTAGAGTGACTCAGCAGATCTCTTCTTCAGTGCTTCTAGCAAGTGTTCAGGGGTGGTAGTGTTTTAAATACAGACATACACTTTCCTTAGTCACAAAGGTGACTATGCACTTAGATTTTTTTGCATTTCCTCTCCTTCATTTCCTTGTATGTCTGTAGATGGTCAGAAAAGCAGACATTTCATATAGTGACCTAGCCAACACCAAGTTTAAGGATGTATTATGGACACAACCTAAAGTCCTTCAAAATATGGTAATGGATTTGCATGCTAATCATTGTCTTCCTAATAGTCTTTGATGCCCATATGTGGCTGAAGGTCTTTCTCTGCAATTCCATGTAAAATAGCCCCTAGAATTTTATCCATAATGTACTAAAAACCATTAAGTAAACTTGAGCTTCTGTTCCTGTGAGTACCAATACAATAGATCATGGTGCCTCCATGAGAACATGCCTAAATGGGCAATGTGTGGTAGGTGAGCTATTGGAAGGTTATGCCAAGAAACATCCATCCTGAGGAAAGCTGATTTCTGCTGCCACATTCCAGTCAGTTTCTATCAAACAGACCTGTAGTGTAGAGTATCTGCAAATAGTCCTCTTCACACCTTTTAAAAAGTATTGCTGCTTGAATGTGGCCTGTTCTGGGATTCATGTGGAGCTCTCTGTGCACTAAATAGTGACCAATCACTCTGATTCTTCACTTGCAATGTCATCCCCAGTGGCACTACCCACAGGTCGTGACCTCTCAGTTGCTCTTCTCTGGACTGAGAGGTGACCTGCAAGAGGGATGGCTAGGATGCTGTGTGAAGTTGTGGGTCTAAGTGGAAAGGGCAGGGTGAAGTGAAACTAGAATGTCTGGGAATGGCCATATGCTCTATTGAAGACACTTATTTCCTAAAGGTGTTCACCTGATGTCTCTTTTCCCCCACACCCAGAGAAATCTTCACAGTTGCGTTTCTATTCATTTGGGGTGTGTGAAGTAGACCACAGAGCCCCGCATGCCAAGGTCAACAGCTCTTTTGTGTGTTTTCTAAGTTTCCTTAGGAATTCTGGCCATTAATGAAGCAGTGCTCCATGGGGATGTGGGCCAGACCCTCAGTGCCCTGCGCTCGTCTGATGTCGGATTGTATGGAGTCACTCCAGAGTGTGATGAGACATATCAGCGTGACCTGGCAGAAGCCAAGAGAGAGAAAATGGCTGCAGGTGATTTCTGGAGTTATACAACTGATTTTTAAATGGTGAACTGCAAGCAGAGAGCAGATGAACCTCAGCTAGTAGAATGGAAAGCTGAGGCCACGGAAAATACTCTGTTTGGAATGGAATCTGGGTTTGTGTGGAGGGGATGGGAGGCTGCTTTGTAACATTTAGAAAATATATTTTTACTTGTATATTAGGCTGTTCTGATAGGTAGCTATACTCTTAAATCAGCAAAGTGCCGGGACAATGTGACATCTCTCGCTTGCTAGCTGCACTGAACAGACCATGCTTTCCCTTAAGCTGTTGTACTTCCATTTCTGTTCCTAGGGGACAATGGCAGTGAGTGGGTGAAGCACTGGGTGAAAGGAGGCTATTACTATTACCATAACCTGCGAACCAGAGATGGACGCTGGGATGAACCCTCAGGATTTGTGCAGAATAATACACAGCTCTCCCGGGAGGAAATACAGGTAGGAGAATAACGTGTTCATTTTCTCCCTGAACAAAGAGCAAGTCCTCTGCAGTTGCTCACCTGAGTAATTCTTTGCAGAGTTACTCTAAGAGTTAAATCTTAAATCCAAATGGAAAATGTTTAAAAAGAACTAAACCAAATAATTTGCTGCTACAGCTTCCTCTTAGCGGTGCCTTTTGGTATGTTCCACCATGTACTTTTGATTTTGTTATGCTGTACACACGCACTTCACCCTTTCTAAGGGGGGCTAGCAGATTTTTAAAGTAATAGAAGACTTCCCCGGCATTGCCTGGGCCCTTCAGGGCAGGGGGCTGGTGGTGGTAGCCAGTGTTCCATCTTAAGCTGAGGGGCTGCACAGCTTCACAGGTGATTAATCAGCCCCTCCCAGTCAGAGGCTCAGGGCTCCATGTATGGAGCTGACTGACTGGGTGGGGCTGATTAATCACCTGTGAAGCTGTGCTGCTGCACAGCTTAGAGGGAACACTGGTGGCGGGGGCAGGAGGCTAGGGGAATGGGAGGGTGAGAGTGAGGGTTGGGTGGCTAGGAGGGGATCAGGGTGGGGCTTTATCTCTTCCCTCCCTCCCTTCCCACCCAGCCCTTCTCTCTCCCCGGCTGCCGAGGGACCCTCCCCTCCCACGTGGTACTGCAGCCAAAGGCCAGGGGAGGGTAAGAGGAAGAGTTTGGGGCAAAGAGGCTACTTTTACTCAGTCTAGGGCTAGTGGCAGGCAAGATGGCAGAGCCCCATCCCTGCTGGCTTCTGCCGTGGTGGTGCAGCTTCCCCATTGGTGTCTCTGCAGTACAGCTCAGGCTTGCTGCCCCCAGTGGCCACTCTCATTATTACATCCGTCCTTTCACTGCCCCCTCCCTTTCTATGTTATGGAAATCAGTCCTGTTCCTGGCACTTCCTGTTTTGTTGCTGCAAACAAACCTTGGCCTTGCTTTACATTAGGAGAATAGGAAGCTACATGCCCAATTTGGTGGCCCTAGCTCTTACCATTTAGGAGGAGTTCTTGAACAAAGAGATTCAGAGACAGACATTTCTAAAATATATAGATAGATTAGAGAAAACTTACCCGGCATTGCCTGGGTCCTTTAGGGCAGGGGACTGATGGTGTGGAGGGGTGCAGGAGTCAGGGGAATGCCTGAGGGATGTGGGGAAGGCAGGTAGATCAGAGCATGAGGCTGGGGGTGTGCAAGAGTGAGGGTTCAGGGGTGTGAAGGGGCTCAGGGCAGCGTGGGGGTTCTCATCTGGTGGGACCTTCTCCTTCTCCCTTGGCCAGCAGGGGCCATGTCTCTGCCCCTCTAGCTGGCAGGGCTTTCTCCTTCTTCACTCCGCTCCTCTCCCTGCTTGCTGCAGCCAGGGGCTGAGGAGGAGCAACTTACCTGGTCGGGTGGCAGGCAAGATGCTGCGTTCCAGCCCCATCACGCTTCTCTCTTGATGGTGCAGCTGCTCCCGGGGGTCACTCTGCAGTGACAAGTCTCTCAGAACAGCAGGACCCTCCCTTTCCATGTTCTTGAAAACAGTCCCATTCCTGGCACTTCCCATTTTCCTGGCGCAATCAAACCCCCCTGGCCTTGCTTTAAGTTTGGATAAGAGGAAGCTGCCTGACAAATGTTGTGGCCCTAGCTCTTACATTTATGAGGAGTACTTGAACAAACGGATTTGCAGACAGACCGATGGATGCACTCTAATATCTATAAATCAGTGCATTTGACCTTGGATCCACTTACGAGGAAATTCCTGCTCTCAGAAGAAATTATATAGAGGAGCCACTTGAGCGCGTTCACCATAACTTTGAACTCAGGATCATGCTCCAAATGTATGTTGAGAGATAATTTAGGGGATGTTGTGCATGATACAGATATTTGATTTACCATATTGATTTTTGTCTGCTCACTCTCTGTCCTTTCTCCTTTTGTGCTTTGCCTTGTTTCTTCCTCCATGAATTCAGAGCTCAATCTCGGGAGTCACGGCTGCATACAACAGAGAACAGCTCTGGCTTGCTAACGAGAATCTGATAACCAGATTGCAGGCTTGCTGCCGTGGGTACCTTGTTCGCCAGGAATTCAACTCCAGAATGAATTTCTTGAAGAAACAGGTCCCTGCAATCACTTGTATTGTAGGGAAGGGCTACTCAACTTTGGAAGTCCTGGGGGCCACAATGATACGCTCAGCACATGACAAGGGCTGCAATTTAAGAGTTGTTGTATATACGTACAAATATATATGCAAATAGCTGATTTCACACTGACGGGCATGAATACAAGATTAAGGCAAGACTACACCACATGCAGGCCCCATTTAAGTCAGTTCTGCTGATATTAATAAAATTCAATGTTTACCCAATTTCTACCCATATGACAGCGCTTTTCATGAGCAATGACAGTCCAGGAATTTAACTACTAAAACGCATATCAATAGACCACCATTATATTGCCTCGCCATTGTAGAGCGTGTTCCCAGTGGAGGCCGTGTTCAAAGGATCCCACCCATTGGCCGCATGTTGAGCCCTGCTAAACCCAAACCGCACCGCAGGCCGCAAACAAACAGGCCATGGGCCACATGTTGAGTAGCTGTGATCTAGGAGTTGTTATTTCTGAGTCTGTATTATGTACAGTGGGAGACTGTTGTTTGTGAATAATAGTAGTGCCTAGAAACCAGAGTTTCTAGGTGCTAGATATAGTACAGATATGTAACAGAAAGACAGCCCCTCCCTGAAGAGTATTTTGCTGATGTATTTTTATGATCAACTAGTAAATTCCTCCTCAGGCAAAACGGCAGGGAGAGGAGTATGTCAGAGAAGACCCTCTAGTGGCTTATTCTTTAGTGAGCCATTGATATTTGTTTTGGGGACAGGAGTATGCCAGTGCTTTGTGTTGAAGATTTTATCTGATGAATTGCTCAGTGATGTACACTGGGGCTGCACTAGGGTTGAAGCATATTAAAGTTAGTGAATTAATTCCATCTCTTGTGGGAATTCTGTCCCATACTGAGGATGCACCCTGACACAGTTGTATCCTGGGATCTGCTTTCTGTCTCTGAAGTAATGTGCTTGTTCCATTTTTATTAGCTTATTTCAAGCTGGCGATATCTAAGTTGTGAGTGGACAATTATGAGCACTCCCCCAGGAATACAGGGAATGTTTCAGAATACTATATGACAGTGTATGCGATAGCAAAAAGTCTGAGAGAGTAAATTGTACACACAGATTTTATAAAATCCCAACTTGGACTGGATTGTCTCATGAAGACAACCCCTGTCTTTGGAAAAGGGGAAGAAATTGAGGGCAGGGAAGGTAGCCTGAATGGCAAGAGAAGAGGTCTTGGGGTATTTCTACACATAAAAATAAAGTTGACCCATATTAGGTCAGTGTATAGCCATTGCTATAGTAATTACTATGGTGGTACATATTCACATTGCTCTCCTTGGATCCGTTGTGTGCATTCTCACTAGGAGCACTACCACCGATCTAAGAGGGGCACTGTTGGGGAGCTGAGATACTGGTCTCTGCCCGGAACACAGCTTCTCCACAGGCTCCCTGACTCCCAACAAGCTGCTCCCCATCCCTTGCCACCCTGTTCCCTCCCAGAAGCAGGGAAGAAGCCACCCAGGCAGCCATCATAGAGTGGTAAAACTGACAAAACAGGCAGGGTTCCCAACCTTGGGTGGGTAAGGCAGGAGAAACATTCATGTCCTGGCTCCCTGTTGGGAGTAGGGTCCATCTGCCCAACCCTTTTGAAATTGATAAGAGAGCTAACAGCTGATGTAAGCAATAGTGCGTTTACAGTCACCGTCAGCATAACTACATCAATATAAGCTCTCTGCCTCCCTTATTGTTTCAGTGCAATAAAGGGCACATACATCAGCAGAACAAGGCTGTAGTGTAGACATTGACCTAATTAGGGTCTGGACTGTGCTAGCTGACTTAGGCTCACGTGGCTCAGGCGATGGGGCTGTTCAGTTACAGTGTAGCTGTTTGAGCTCAGGCTGAACCTTGTGTGGTGGGAGGGTCCCAGAGCTCAACCTGTGGCCTGATCCCAAATGTCTGCAACACACCTGTGAGCCTGAATCAGCTGGTACAAGCCAGGTGCAGATGTCTAACTGCATTGTAAATGTAACCGTGGCACATACAACATTTTCATATACATTTAAAAACAACAAATCATGAATCTCTACTTTTATACCTGGCCAAAGGCAAACTTGGGAAGATGACCACCACTGGGCTGGTCACAAAGTAATAAATGCCCTGCACAGTAACCTTGTGTGTCTGTGTGTTCTCTGGTTTCAGTCTCAGTGGCGTGGCTACAAGCAACGAAAGGAATACCAAGATCGCTTGGCCTACCTGCGAGCACACAGAGATCAAGTCGTGAAGGTATGATGTCTTGGAAGTATCTGCTCATTAGAGGTGGAAAAGGACTTTCAGGTCCTATCGTCCACCCTCAGGAGTCATGGCAGAATCATTCAGTATCATGGATTATGACTGTTTTTAGGTCTTTGTCCAGTGTAATTTTTTAAAATCACCAGAGCCGCTATGTCTTTTCTTGATAGAAAATTCCACTGCCTCCCCAGTCTCATGGTCAGAAAGTTTTTTCTAATGTTCATCCGATATCCTTAAATTTACCCCATTCTCCTAATTATATGAGCCAAAATAATCCCTATCCTTTCCTGGCCTCAATATCCTTTAGCTATTTATAGATCGTTAGGATTATTCTTATCAATAAACTAGGTAAATACAACTTAGATGGGGCTACTATAAGTAGGGTGCATAACTGGCTTGATAACCGTATTCAGAGAGTAGTTATTAATGGTTCACAATCCTGTTGGAAAGGTATAACAAGTGGGGTTCCGCAGGGGTCTGTTTTTGGACCGGCTCTGTTCAATATCTTCATCGACGATTTAGATATTGGTATAGAAAGTACGCTTATTAAGTTTGCAGATGATACCACGCTGGGAGGGGTTGCTACTAATCTGGAGGATAGGGTCATGATTCAAAATGACCTGGACAAATTGGAGAAATGGTCTGAGGTAAATAGGATGAAGTTTAATAAAGACAAATGCAAAGTGTTCCACTTAGGAAGGAACAATCAGTTTCACACATGCAGAATGGGAAGCGACTGTCTGGGAAGGAGTATGGCAGAAAGGGATCTAGGGGTTATAGTGGACCACAAGTTGAATATGAGTCATCAGTGTGATGCTGTTGCAAAGAAAGCAAACATGATCCCAGGATGCATTAACAGGTGTGTTGCAAGCAAGACACGAGAAGTCATTCTTCCGCTCTACTCTGCATTGGTTACGCCTCAATTGGAGTATTGTGTCCAGTTCTGGGCACCGCATTTCAAGAAAGATGTGGAGAAAATGGAGAGGGTCCAGAGAAGAGCAACGAGAATGATTAAAGGTCTAGAGAACATGACCTATGAAGGAAGACTGAAGACTGTGTTTGTTTAGTTTAGAAAAGAGAAGATTGAGGGGAGACATGATAGCAGTTTTCAGATATCTAAAGGGGTGTCATGAGGAGGGAGAAAACTTGTTCATCTTGGCCTCTGAGGGTAGAACAAGAAGCAATGGGCTTAAACTGCAGCAAGGGAGGTTTAGGTTGGACATTAGGAAAAAGTTCCTAACTGTCAGGGTAGTCAAACACTGGAATAAATTGCCCAGGGAGGTTGTGGAATCTCCATCTCTGGAGATATTTAAGAGTAGGTTAGATAAATGTCTATCAGGGATGGTCTAGAGTAAGTACTGGGTCCTGCCGTGAGGGCAGGGGACTGGACTCGATGACTCTCGAGGTTCCTTTCAGTCCTAGTATTCTATGATTTGCTGTTCTGCCTCCTCATCTGCAGTTTAGCCAAAATTTACATATTTAGCTCTTTCAATACTTCATCATGAATCAGTCCTTCAGCTCGCTGATAATTGTTGCATTTTTTTAACTTCCTCTTAATTCCTCAATGTCTTTTGGCAATAAGGTTGTTGTGTGTGGGATCCTGTCATGGAGTTTATATCTGAGTGTTGTCTTATTTCACAGATTCAGTCAGTAACCAGGATGTATCAAGCCAGGAAGCAGTATAGAGAGCGGCTGCAGTATTTCAGAGACCATGTAAGAGTCTCCTTGCTACACTACTTTTTAATATATACTTAGTGCATTACAATGTGAATGAAATTATGAGAGGTTTTTTTTTCCTCCTAGATAAATGACATTGTAAAAATCCAGGCCTTCATTCGTGCAAATAAAGCAAGAGATGACTACAAAACACTCAGTAAGTATTGCCCAGGGAATGAGGCTCGGATAGCTGTTGATTCAGTATTTCCATGGCACGTTGTTAATGTCATCTGCAGCACTAGAGACTGTGGAAGAATAGTATATGAAAGTTATTTGAGGTGGTATTCCTTTGGGAGCACCGAGGGTGATAGAAATTTTAACTCCAGACATCACTGTAGATATTTATGGGTAAAATGCCAGCTTCTCAATTAACCGTGGCATCGCAAATTGGCCTAGATTTGATATTTGACTCTTTCCTTTGTTGCTGGTTATGCTCACATGTTGTCCCAAAATGAGTAATTTCAAAGCCTGTTAGAATCTGCTTACATTCTGTGGTGATAGAAAGATTATTCATACGCTGTTAAAATGTGTATTCAGTGATTTTTTTTTCCTCCTTGCTTGATGCTTCTTCATTTCCTCATAGTTAGTGCTGAAGACCCACCTATGGCTGTGGTCCGGAAATTTGTCCATTTACTGGATCAGAGTGACCAGGATTTTCAGGAGGAGCTTGACCTAATGAAGCTGCGTGAGGAGGTTGTAACCCTAATCCGAGCCAATCAGCAATTGGAAAATGACCTCAATCTCATGGACATCAAAATTGGACTCCTTGTGAAAAACAAAATCACATTGCAGGTATGAAGCTCACGGAGAAAGAAAGCTGAAGTACAGAGTCCAGCATATAGACCAGTTAGTGGAGGGAAACAGCCCCTGATATTCTCTCCTTGCTCTTAGCTATTTTGGACAGTTTTACTAATTGAACAATCAGTCCCACCATGGGGAAGGAAGTTCATGTGAAACGGGAACTTCCATGCATGGTCAAGACAAGTGGAAGCTGTTGGGGATTCAGAAGGACAAGTCAGTGTTATAGCACATCTTACAGCAGGAAGGAAAATAAAAGCTTGAGAGAACCAATGGGCAAGAAGAAACAGATTGGGGAGATGGGAGGGGGCTTCTGAGGTAGCTGCCAGAGAAGTGTTTGTTAAAGAAAATGGTGATTGTTCAAAACCAGGCATACAACTGCTATGCCTCTTTAATTTTTAGTTGAGAGACTGTAACACCAATGTCAGCACAGTCTCTGTCCCAGTAGCTTACACAATGTAACATAATTTTGCCTGGCACATATTAAGCCAAGGGAAGGTTCTAGTGTAAATTGTGGCAAATATACAAGGGGGCTTGTTGTTAAAATGCTTCCTAGAGAGGGGAGACTTATCTGGAGACAGCTGAGTGATTCAAACATTCCAGAATTATAACCTGGTTCTGTTTTGCTGAGTGTTCTTGAGTCAATTGCTTAATCCTTCTGTGTCACCTGTGTACATCTCTAACATGGCGCTGACCTGCCTTACACATGTAAGAATGTTAGGGAATTCAGACCCTTTACTCTGGCGCATAAGCAAAATACTTCTATTTTGATGCTAAAATGCCCATACTCACAGGTACTGTAAAAGGAGCAGCAGCTGGAGCCAATGTCTAAAGGTTATAACTCCTACTGAGTCCCACCATCTTTCCCTCTACCCCATACAGAGCTTTCCCACCTTGCCCACCCATCATCATCCTCAATATGGCAAATCCCAAAAGGACCTGACCTTTCAAATAGAGCACCAGTTGCATCAATCTCTGGCAAAATGCTGAAAGTGATTGGGTTGTATTCTCAGTTTCTGTTCATCTCTGGCAATTTTACTGTGCCATCGAATGTACCATTCACATGTTTGCTAGTTACGTAGTGACATACCTTATTACAGATGCTTAAATTCATTGGACTTGCGTTGTGCTAATAATTCTGTATAAAAAAGGCTGCCAAAACTTAACCAGAGGTGATTGGAGATGGTACTAGGTTCCGTTTGTAATAGCTTTATCCTTCTTGTAATGCTTGTGTGACGAGGTGCAGTCACAGAAGATTCCTTGGGGGTGCTTCCCAGGGTGCCATTCACCTTCCTGCTCTCTGGGGCTAATCAACACTCTGTCCTGCTGGGCCAGCTCCCTGGTCTCCCCCAGCTGAGGACCAGAGTTGAGATCACTGCCGCCCCAAGAAGCAGTACAGACACCGAAACTGCTTTGGTCCAAGGAAAATGCAGTTTTGGGCCCAGCTTCCTGGGATACCACTCCCCAAATGGGATCAGAACCCCAAATGAATTATTGAGGTAAGCCCCCTTTAGCAATGAAAAGAGGAATGTACATACTGGTTGCTGGGCTTGATAGTAAATAGTGATTTGATTAAGTACAAGCAATAGGGTTTAAGTGGAAATAAGTAAGAATAGGCAGAGCAAAGTAGATTACAGACTTAAAACAAAAAACGCTTAGCCAATTCTAACATTAAAACCTCAGTACAAACTTCTTATAAACTCGTTACAAACTCACCCTAAAACTGTTCCTTTTCCAGCTAAGCCTTCAAACCACGTACTACCTCTCCCGGGGGTCTTGGGTTCATTCCCTTGCCTATGCAAGACAAAGACCCTGCTAAGCTTCCCATTGCTTTTTGGACCTTTTCCATGAGGAAATTCCCTGGACAGTTCCTACCAGTAGGGAGGTCATGTGACTTCCTAAGACCAACCATTTCTAAGACGTAAAGGACAAAAGACTAGTTCCATATGCTTGCCCAGACATTGAGGCTTCCCAGCATTGGAAACACTCTTAATGGCTTTCCTTAGCACGTTTCAAACCCTCAAGCATTCTGTACTCCATGTGTCTAAGTTCACACACAAGAGTGATGCACACACCAAAATAAGATCCACAGATCCAGCAGATTATGACATGGAGATTGATAGGTTAGAATGAGATAATTTGTCTAAAGCACCTTGGAGTTAGGCATGTTTGTACCCATAAGTCCATTTCATAAAGCATGGTGGGGGCAGTCCATCCCAGCTTGTTCATGTTACATTAAATTAATGGAGATTGCCTATCTCCTAGAACTGGAAGGGACCTTGAAGGTCATTGAGTCCAGTCCCCTGCCTTCACAGCAGGACCAAGTACCATCCCTGACAATTTTTGCCCCAAATCCCTAAATGGCCTCCGCAAGGATTGAACTCACAATCCTGGGTTTAGCAGGGCAATGCTCAAACCACTGAGCTATCCCTCCCCCCATGTTGATTCAGATCAGATGTGTGCACACGCATGTGCACAGTAGCCAGAATTTTTTCCCAGCAGGAACTATTGGGTCTGCCTGGATGCCCCCTGGAGTTGTGCCTTCATGGCTCCCACTATGGAACTCTTCTGACCCGCCACCCTCTCAGTTGCTTATCATCAATGATGGTAGCTGGGACTTCCCTTGTCCTTGCTGCTGCACGTGACTTAGCACTTTGATTCCTGTTGGACTCACCTTGCTTATTCAGTTAGTGTAGTTTAGTATAGTTAGTCACTTGTGAGTTTCCATTACAGGGTTTCAGTGGCCCTTCTTGACTCCATGGTCTTTCCAAGTTCAGGGTTAGAACCATGGGTCTTTTTCAGGGGCTGCTTCACTTGTCTGCAACCTTTATCCCATCATGTCCAAAGGCTGAGCAGTTATCTCTGGTGTGAATGCTAGCAATTGCAGCACTCTTGCCAACATCAACAACAACTGTGGTGCCCTTTTCGATAACGTCCTCAGTACCAGTAGCTCAGGTTATGGCACCAGCTCTGGCACCGACACTGATGCTGTTATTGATGCTGCCTGTGCTGTCATCGTTTACCACCACGTGGTGTTTCAAAGTGGCAGCGCCACACAGCTGATCCCAGGCTCAGCTGTGCAGTGCTGCTGCTTTGAAGTATCTGGTAGACGCAGCAAAGTGGCGAGGGAGGGGAGGCGGGGAATCAACTAGTCCTTAACATTCTTACTGCTTCCCCCAGCTTCTATTGGTCAGGAGCGGCGATCCAATAGAAGTGGCTATCATATACCTAGACTTTAGTAAGGCATTTGATACGGTCTCGCATGATATTCTTCTTGATAAACTAGGCAAATATAACTTAGATAGGGCCACAATAAGGTGGGTGCATAATTGGCTGGATAACCGTAGTCAGAGAGTTGTTGTTAACGGTGCTAAATCCTGCTGGAAAGGGATAACAAGTGGAGTTCCTCAAGGGTCTGTTTTGGGACCCGTACTGTTCAATATCTTCATCAATGATGTAGATATTGGGATAGAGAGTACGCTTATTAAGTTTGCAGATGATACCAAACTGGGTGGGGTTGCAACTTCTTTGGAGGATAGGGACATAATTCAAAATGACCTTAGCAAGTTAGAGAAATGGTCAGAGGTAAACAGGATGAGGTTTAATAAAGAGAAATGCAAAGTGCTCCACTTAGGAAGGAACAATCAGTTCCATACATACAAGATGGGAAGCGACTGTCTAGGAAGGAGCATGGCGGAAAGGGATCTAGGGGTCATAGTGGACCACAAGTTGAATATGAGTCAACGGTGTGATGCTGTTGCAAAAAAGCAAAGTGCTCCACTTAGGAAGGAACAATCAGTTCCATACATACAAGATGGGAAGCGACTGTCTAGGAAGGAGCATGGCGGAAAGGGATCTAGGGGTCATAGTGGACCACAAGTTGAATATGAGTCAACAGTGTGATGCTGTTGCAAAAAAAGCAAATATGATTCTAGGTTGTATCAACAGGTGTGTTGTAAGCAAAACTCGTGAAGTCATTCTGCCGCTCTACTCTGCACTAGTTAGGCCTCAGCTGGAGTACTGTGTCCAGTTCTGGGCGCCACATTTCAAGAAAGATGTGGAGAAATTGGAAAGGGGACAGAGAAGAGCGACAAGGATGATTAAAGGTTTAGAGAACATGACCTATGAAGCCAGGCTTCATGAACTGGGCTTGTTTAGTTTGGAAAAAAGAAGATTAAGGGGGGACATGATAGCGGTTTTCAAATATCTAAAAGGGTGTCACAAGGAGGAAGGAGAAAATTTGTTTCTCTTGGTTTCTGAGGACAGGACAAGGAGTAATGGGCTTAAGGTGCAGCAGGGGAGGTTTAGATTGGACATTAGGAAAAAATTCCTAACTGTCAGGGTGGTCAAATATTGGAATAAATTGGCAAGGGAGGTGGTGGAATCTCCCTGTCTGGAGATATTTAAGAACAGGTTAGATAGACATCTGTCAGGGATGGTGTAGACAGAGCTTGGTCCTGCCTTGAGGGCGGGGGGCTGGACTCGATGACCTCTCGAGGTCCCTTCCAGTCCTATGATTCTATGATATAGCAGCAGTTGGCCTGCCAGGAGTTAACCCTGTCAGACCAGATCCAGCCTGCAGGACAGTATTTGCTCATCCCTGCAATAGAGGGAGTTTTCTGGCAAGCTCGATATTATGACAACCCCTTTGACTCATAGACTTTAAGATCAGAAAGGACATTCATGGTGATGTAGTCTGATCTCCTGCACATCACAGGTCACAGAACATCGCCCACCCATTCCTGAAATAGCCTCTAAACTCTGGATGAAGTCTGGAAACTGGTCAAGTATGTAACAGCTGATCTGCCGTGTCAGAGTTCTCTTGGGACAGGGTAGTGCTGTGCTGGTGGCTGCTTTGATGGCAGTGTCTAGGAACTTAGATTTTGTGATTGTGCACCTCAGGATGCCAGGCCAAAACTCCTCTCTAGTCTTTCTGGGGCGCTTCCATGCCCTTCTCAGACACTCTGCAAGAGTCAGAACTTCCTGAGCCTGGCAGTCCCAGGCTGGGTTTACAAGACCAAAATTGCATTGTATTACAGAAAGGCCATTATTAACACTAGACACAGCACTGCCCCCACCCCTTTCAAATGCTCCCACTGTTCATATACCTAGCACCGCTGACTGTCCAGGAGCGAGTGTCCATTACATATAGGACCCCCATAATGGTGAGTTCACCACAGGGGCAGCAGGAGAAAACCTAGGTGCAGTGGGATAGGGAAAAGGGACAGGAAAACCATTGGTGTAGCAGCACAGGTGAGGGTATCCCTTCGTGCAGCTTGGTAGGGGAAAAGGCAGGTAGGGGAAAAGGCAGGGGAAGGCCCTTGCAGTAGACTGGCAGAGAAATCCCTTTGTGCCACCGGCCAGGGATTCTCATTCTTGCCAGGAGCAGGGGTTTTCATGCCTGGTGGGACGGTGCTCTGGGCAGGTATGAAATTGGAAGAGCACTGTGGTGGGGAATGAAAGTTAGTAATGGCTGCTTAGGGTGAGCAGGGAAGCAAAAGAAGATCTTTTACTTGACTGTGGGTTTGGGCACAGTGCCAAGGAAATGTCAGCCTTCAGGAGACAAATACCATTTTTGCTTTGCCAGCTAATTTGAGGAGAAGGATGGCGCAGCTTTCGATGAGGTCTGTTGGCTGTCTGACTGACCCACCGCTGGGAGCATCACACAGAGCCAAAAAGCATCTTTTCTCATAGAATCATAGAATGCTAGAACTGGCAGGTACCTTGAGAGGTCATCAAGTCCAGTCCCCTGCCCTCACAGCAGGACCAAGCGTCATCTAGACCAGCCCTGACAGATGTCTATCTAACCTGCTCTTAAATATCTCCAGAGATGGAGATTCCACAACCTCCCCAGGGAATTTATTCCAGTGTTTAACTACCCTGACAGGAAATTTTTCCTAGTGTGCATCTTAAACCTCCCTTGCTGCAATTTAAGCCCATTGCTTCTTGTCCTGTCCTCAGACACCAAGGAGAAGAATTTTTCTCCCTCCTCCTTGTAATACCCTTTAGATACTTCTATAACCTTTCTGCTCCTGGCAAGTCACTTCGGTGCTTTCCAAGACCCAACTCACTTAGCAGACACATCAGCCACAGGCTGCGAGGGCTGCTTCTTCGAGGGGACAAAACAGCTCTTGACTGCAAGTTTCTATGGATGACGAGTCTTCCTCTGGCTGTGGGTCCCTCTCTCCCTCAGCACATTCTGCCACAGTTTTCTCCTTGGTGCACTGTTTAATGCCCCCTGACTCCTGAGGGATCTATGGTGGTCTTCACAGTGATTCAGCTTCAAGTATCTCGGTCAGCTCTTGTAGAACTTGCAGTTGTGGCCCAGCACCGGAGCAGCATTTTGCTTCCTGTGTCATGTGGGAAACATTTTGCAGCTCCTTCACTTAGACCCTTCATTGCAGTTCCCCCAGTCCTGGCCCCTTTCAGTCGTGCATCTAGGGTTGTGTGTGTAGGTAATATAATTCCTATGGCCGGAGCACAGCTGGATCTGGGATCGCCTCCTCTCCCAATCGCTTGTGAGGTCCAGCACTTTGGCATGGCTCCAACCTGGACTACTTCTGATGTGTAGTCAGGCATGGCCAGCTGGAGAGTTGCACTGAGAACAAATCAGGCATCAGAGCAAACAGGAAGGAGACTTTCAAATTTGAAAACTCAGAGGGCGAGTCTGAGAGTTGGTCAGTGGAGTAGAATTGCAACAGATCACCAGAGAGGTAAGGACAGGCATCGTGGGAAGGGTGCAGGAAGCCACTCGGCACACTACACTATGGTGTTTACACTGGCACACCAGCACACTATCCAGAGCGCATTAAGCTCTATGCTTCTTGCAGAGGTGGTGCGCACTAAGTTCCTTGTCAGTGAGAACACCCCTTACTGAGCAGTAATTTGCCAATATAGAGTTGATGTTAGGCGCACTAGCTTGGCAGTTTTCTAAATGAATGGTGCACTTTTATCAGCAGACGTGGATTGTCACTGTTGAGTTCAGTACATTTCGAAACTGATACATTGTGACTGTTAACTGATAACCTTAATGAAAACACAATCATAGTCCTAGTAAACCATGTGGGCAGTACCATCTCTGCTTAGGACTCTTCAGACCAGGGGTGGGGAACCTCAGGCCTGGGGGCCAGATGCAGCCCCCAGCTTGCCTGAATCCAGCCCCCTGAGGCTCAGCCACCCCCACCCCCCAGCACTGAGGAGCCTATGCTGGCACTCCAGGCCCCCACCCCCACACCTCCGGCTGTCTCACCGTGGGGCTGGAGCACACAAAATCTACTAGACTGGGCTTCCCTAGGCTCTGGCATGAGAGGAGAATATGGGGAGTGTCTTTCTTCTTCTCATTCAGGGGCCACATCAGTAAGGATTTGTGTGGGTGGTTTTTGCTTCTACCCAGTACTGAAATTCCTGTGAATAGTGGCCAGGGTTCCTACCTAAGAATTTAAATCACCTATGATCTTGATGACATCTTGTTTCAGTTTCATTTAAGGGTTGAGTGTGTATGCTGAGGAAAATCTGTCATCTGCGGTTGTATTGTTGTCCTTGGTATTGATGGGACCATATTCTGTGATGATTGTCATTTTCACTCAGCACATAGTCAACCTGTGGAACTCCTTGCCAGAGGATGTGGTGAAGGCTAGAACTTTAACAGGGTTCAAAAAAGAGCGAGATAGATTCATGGAGGCGAGGTCCATCAATGGCTATTAGCCAGGATGGGTAGGAATGGTGTCCCTAGCCTCTTTTTCTCCAGAGGTGACGGGAGGAATCATGTGAGGATTACCTGTTGTGATCCCTCCCTCTGGTGCATCTGGCATTGGCCACTGTTGGCAGACAGGGTACTGGGCTGGATGGACCTTTGGTCTGACCCAGTATGGCCGTTCTTGTGTTCCATCAGTACAATGTTAATAGAGTTAAAAAAGACAGAGTTTTTAAAAATGTGAATGAGGATTTGGGGATTTAAAGTTAAATTTGAGTCTTTTTCTGTTTGTCTTCACAGGATGTTGTGTCTCATAGTAAGAAACTTACAAAGAAGAACAAGGAGCAGCTGTCTGACATGATGATGCTCAACAAACAGAGGGGAGGTTTGAAGGCTCTAAGCAAAGAGAAGAGGGAGAAGCTGGAAGCATATCAGCACCTATTTTACTTGCTTCAGGTGAGCAGCTCCCCTCTCGCTGCTTTTCCAGCTCCTGCCATGGAGATGTCTGTCTTGAGTCAGTCGTCTGTGCACTGTACTTTGGACCCATCATTGCCAACAGTTGTCTCTGTGGGAATTAATGCTGACTAGGGATGTAAAATTCTATGTAATCAGTTAACTAGTTTGATTAAACTGTGGCGGGTGAGAGGGCTGGAGTGGCCCCTGCCAGCTGGGCTGTAGCAGCACGCACGCACACACACCCCACCACAGGCAGGGACTGCTCCAGCCTGACTGTTCTGGTTCTTGTGTGGGGTTGCCGGCTCCCAGCCCTCTCTGGAGAAGCCCTCTGCCCACAGTTAACCAGTCACCTGCCAAGCATCACCCTTAATGGTTACCCATAATCTGTTAACATCCCTAATGCTGATGCTTCATTATTTGTTGTTGTTGTAGACTAACCCTACCTACCTGGCCAAGCTGATTTTTCAGATGCCTCAGAACAAATCCACCAAATTTATGGATTCTGTAATCTTCACCCTGTATAACTATGCATCCAATCAGAGAGAAGAATATCTGTTACTTCGGCTTTTCCAGACTGCACTTCAGGAGGAAATCAAGTATGTGGTGCCATGGCATTACTTAAGGGATGGCTTAAGCACCTGATGCCTGCTACATTGTTTCTCTCTGTTCATGCTTGGGTCCTCAGTTTCTTTATAAGAATCATTTTGGTTTCCCCTGAAGCACAAAGAAATATCTGTAACAGAGAGGTAGCCATGTTAGTCTGATCTTGGTAAAACACAAAAAGCCTCCATGTAGCACTTTAAAGACTAACAAGATGGTTTATTAGGTGATGAGCTTTCATGGGGCAGACCCACGAAAGTTCCCTATATTTCATGGGGAATATGATCTGAAGAAGTGGGTCTGCCCCACGAAAGCTCATCACCTAATAAACCATCTTGTTAGTCTTTAAAGTGCTACATGACTGCTAAAGAAATATCTGTGTAGCTTGGAGAGAAGTTGTTCATTGATAGCCACTGAGAGTGAAAACAAACCTCTTTACACTAAGTTTTAAGGTGATTTTATTTTAGATTAAAAGCATCTGCTTTCCTGAAGCAGCAAACTGTGGCTAATGAACCTGTTTTGGAAAAACTTGTAGCAAAATATAAAGTGATTTAAACTGCTGTTGTGCCTAGAGTAGCTCCAGATTTGTAAGCCAATAAGAAGCATAGTAAAGGAGAACCAGGATGACTAAGAGCTTGTCTATATGGCAAATTAGTGCACGCTACCCTAGAGTTCGAATCTACAATGCGCTAACTTGCCATGAGGACACTGAGCTTTGCAGTAGTATACCACTAAGCCAAGTTGGGGGCCACACATGATGTTACTGCAGGGCAAGCTGGTACACTATATATTCACACGCTTGATTGTTACATAGCAACTTTCCATACGGACAGGTCCTAAGAAACTGAAATGCAGACTGAGCTTGTCCTGGATTTTCAACAGTTAATGAGAATGCAAGAGCTCAGGAATGCTATTGTGGTTTACATTTTTATAGGTGCTCCGTTTGTAGACACAGGTTCAGCATATTTTTGTGATCATGTCACACCATAGTCTAATTCCTACCAGTGCACAGCTGGGACCTCATTACTGAAAAACAATATAAACTATCACAATAGAGACGTTTCTATTAATTTGTTACTTTCATGCTTTGCCATATACTACTAAATGTAGTTCTTCGAGGGCTTGCTCATGCCAGTTCATTCTAGGCATGTGCGCATCCATGTGCACAGTACATGGAGATTTTTGCCTGAGCAGTATCCATAAGGTCAGCTGTGGTGTTCCTCTGAGTGCTGCATTCTTGCATTGGTATAGAAGTGCTGTTGACCCTACGCCCTCTCAGTTCCTTCTTAGCACCCTTGACGGTTGGTTAGAGCTTTGCAATCACAAGAGCATTAGCCTTTCTTCACCAGCCCATTGTCTGTCCGTCTTTTGTATGTAGTTTATGTGCTTATGTACAGGTTGAATCTCCCAAATCCAGGAGACTCTGGTCTGGCAATATCTGGTCCTGCTGGACCACAGAGCCCCATAGGTGGTAACAGGAGCCAGCTAAGAGGACGTGGGGCTGAGGAGCCCCATCTGGACCAGGCGGTGGTGGCTGGGGGACTCCTACCCTGGCCAAGGAACCCCTGCTGTCAGCTGGGCCAGGCAGCCGGGGAATCCTGGCCCTAACTAGGGAACCCCAGTTGCAGCAGGGTTTCCGGTGACAGGCGGCCCAGCTGGGGACTCCCTTTCTCCCCCTGGCAGCAGGACCGGTGGCGGCTGGATGACCCTGATTTGGAACCCCAGGATACTCCTTATGACATCAGGGCTGGATTAGGCAGCCCCAGCCATGGAACCCATAGCTGAAGCAGGTCTGGCAGGGGCGGGTGGCCCCTCCTGGAGAACCCAGGGAGTTCCTAGCAGAGGCACGGTGTGGCTGGGCTATCTTGGCTGTGGAAATCGCAGCTAAAGCAGGGCTGGCAAAGGGAGGTGGCCCGGGGCCAGCACTAGCAATGGCATGGTGTGGCCCGGGTGATCCCCGCCGTGGAACCCCCATTGGCATTGGAGCTGGAGGCAGCTGGATAGTCCCAGCCTGGAAACTCTGGGGAACACTATGTGGGAGCTCGGCCAGCAGCAGCCAGGCTGTCCCAGCCGGGAACTCTGGGAGACCTTGGGGCAGTGTGAAGGTATCAGGATGGGGACCCTGTGTCAGGCCAGCATTAGCGGGGCCAATGGTAGGGCAGGGAGCCCGAAGGAGAAGAGCCCAGGAGCGAAGCAGCCCACAGGGAAGGACTGACCTCCCCTGGTCTGGCAGATTCCCTGGTTCGGGACAGCTCGTGTCCTGAGGTTGCCAGACCAGGGCGGTTCAACCTGTAGTTAAGAGTTCTGGCTGGGACTTCACCCTGGAGCAAGGCATGTCCTGCTGTCCTGGTTTTAAACCACACATCATGCAGTACAGATCCTGGTTGCAGTCTTCTGGGATATTCCAGGAGATTCAGGCCATTGTACAAAACCTTCTGCTTGTGGGGATAGGACTCTTCTTCTCCAAGCTTGTGCACTGGAGACTGCATGGTCTTAAAGGTTCCCATGCATCCTCTGCTCTTTGGGCCTCCATACTCCTTAGCAAGCTAAGAAGCTGTTTTCCCCACAGTCTCCTCACCTCCACAGCCTAGGGGCTTAGCTAGTTTGATTAGAACTATTGCAAAACAATTGAGTTAGGGAATGCTAGCAGCAGCTAAGGCTGTCACTGGTGGTAAGAAAGAACTGAGGAAGTAGGGGCCGGGGAGTGTCCTATATAGCATGGTATATGTGCGCCACTCCAAGGGGTGCTGGGGACCACAGCCCCTGGGGTAGTGCTTAGGGAAAACTTCTGGTGCCGGTGCATGTGGCAAGTACACACACCTATGCTGAATGGACCTGAGCAACACATCTCGAGGAACAATAGTTTCAGAAGAGATAACTATCTTTTCCAAGCTATGGCAGACCTCATCTTGTGTGTGCAAGTTTACCCTCTCACCACTACTCACGTGCTTGTGATTTTTGGGCCACATAGGGGCTTATGTGGTCCAACATATGCAGCTCCATCCCCAGATCCCTGCAGGCACTGCTGGCGTAGGTCTGTGTCCTCACACACACAGCATTGGATCACGTATTGTCATAACTCATCTGGTGGCAGAATCCTGCATCAGTGTTGGAGGTGGTTCCCTTTGTGGCTCCATCCCTGTCAGTTACCCTTGTCTCTGATGTCTCAGACCTGGGGTGGTCGAGTCATGATTGCTTCCTCCACCTCAGCATCAGGGAACTCAGAGCTGTTCCCCTGGCTTGCCACGCCTTCCTATCTCAAATAAAAAGCAGGGTGGTCTGGGTGCTGACAGACAATACAGCAGCTATGTTCTATATCAACAAGCAAAGCAGAGCAGATCATCTGCTCTTTGCCAAGTTGCCTTCAAGCTCTGTGACTTCTGTGTATAACACGGCATCCATCTCATAGTCACACATCTCCTTGGGGCCAGGAACAGTTGGGCGGATATCCTCAGCAGGACCTTCTTGTCTCACCGTGCGTGGGTCTTGCATCTGGACCTCGTCAGCATCATGCTTCAGAGTTGGGGATTCCCCAGGTGGACTTGTTTGCATCCAGGCAGAACCAGAAATGCCCCATTTTCTGCTTATTTCGGGGGATTGACAAGATCCCTGTTAGATGTTTTTCAGCTCTTACAGGTGTGGGCTCTGTTTTATGCTGTGCCTTCAATGCTGTTAATTCACAGAGTCCTTATGAAGATCAAGCATGATAGAATAAAGGTGATCCTCATAGTGGCGGTTTTGTTATGCCAGCACTGGTCTGGCATGCTTCTGAACCTCTCGGTAGCTGCTTAATTACAGCTACTTCTTCAGCTGAGACTGCTGTCCCAAAACCGAGGCAGTCTCCTGCATCCGAACCTAGTGGAACTGCTTGACTGTTGCATGGTTAAATATGGAGGAGCAGGAGTGCTCAGCTGGTATTCAGTTAGTTTTGTTGGGCAGTAGAAAGCCTTCCACCAGAGCAATCTTCCAGGCCAAATGGAAGCTGTTCGCTTGTTGGACCTCAGATAAAGGCATTCTGCCCAGCCAGGCCTCACCACAGTTAATCCTTGGCTATTTTCTGTATCTCAAGCTTCAAGGCCTGCCCCTTTCATCTATCTAAGACCACTTGGCTGCTCTCTCAGCCTTTTGTCCATCGCTCAAGGATAGACCATTTTTTTGCGTGAGGCATTTTGCTTAGGGAGCTTGTGGAATCTCCATGGTTGGAGATATTTAAGAGCAGGTTAGACACACATCTCTCAGGGATGGTCTAAATGGTACTTGTTCCTGCCATGAGTACTGGGGAATGATTTCTCAAGGTTCCTTCCAGTTCTGTGATTGCCAGGTTCCTCAAGGGCCTCAGGCATCTCTACCCACGTTTCTGGAAACCTCCTCTGCAGTACCTGAATCTTATGTTGTCATGGCTCATAGGGCCCGTGTGAGCCTCCATCGATACTGCCTGTGAGTTACCTGGAATGGAATCAACATGACTAGCACTCAAAGAAAAATGATTACCTACCTTTTGTAATTTGTTCTTTGAGATGTGTTGCTCATATCTGTTCCATTACCCATTGTCCTTGCCCCTCTGTTGGAGTTGTCTGCAAGAAGAAACAAGGGGGAGTAGGATTGGCGATGCCTGTATACTAGCCCATGGGCATGGTTCTGAAGGGAGTGCCACAACCATTCCTTTGGATATTGCTGAGGCTAAAATTTCTGACATCTGTGCACATGGGCCTGCTCACACCTGGAATGGGCTGACATGCGCATCATATCTCGAAGAACAGTTACAAAAGGTAGGTAACTGTTTTTATTCCTGTCTTTTATAGTGCAAGAATATATAACGAATCTTCCCTGTCCCCGTCCCGAAGGGAGTGCCACAACCATTCCTTTGGATATTGCTGAGGCTAAAATTTCTGACATCTGTGCACATGGGCCTGCTCACACCTGGAATGGGCTGACATGCGCATCATATCTCGAAGAACAGTTACAAAAGGTAGGTAACTGTTTTTATTCCTGTCTTTTATAGTGCAAGAATATATAACGAATCTTCCCTGTCCCCGTCCCACACCTATTGTCGTGCCCTACAAAAATGTTTTAAGTGGTTTTTTTAATGCAGTAACAACTCAAAGCAAACTGCTACATTTCTTAGTTGAAGACACCCAATTTTGTGTCCTATGCCACTTCCTAGCACATCTGAGCTATGCATTATGGCTGTGTCTACACTGTACCCCTTTTCCGGAAAAGGGATGCAGATGAGACAAGTCGGAATTGCACAAATCGCAATTGCAAATGAAACGGGGATTTAAACCCCCCCTGCTTCATTTGCATAAACATGGCTGCCGCTTTTTTCTGGCTCGGAGTTTTGCCGGAAAAAAGCGCCAGTCTAGATGCGGATCTTTCGGAACATAAAGCCTTTTCAGAAAGATCCCTTATTCCTCTTAAAATCAGGAATAAGGGATCTTTCGGAAAAGGCTTTATTTTCCGAAAGATCCCGTCTAGACTGGCGCTTTTCTCCGGCAAAGCCCTGAGCCGGAAAAAAGCGGCAGTCATGTTTATACAAATGAAGCGGGGGATATTTAAATCCCCCGCTTCATTTGCAATTCCGACTTGTCTCATCTGCATCCCTTTTCTGGAAAAGGGGTCCAGTGTAGACACAGCCTAAGAGTCTATTTATTGGCCTTTTTCTTGTAACTTGTTTCATTGAAATTTTGTAAAACTCCACCAGCTTTACCAATAAAACCAGCATGTTTTGCCTTAAGAAGCGTAAATCATGAAATGTAAGCAATGCATAACAGGTAAAACTATTTCTAGTTTGTTTTTTTAATTGATGTTAATTCTCTTCCAGATCAAAAGTAGACCAGTTACATGAGATTGTAACTGGAAACCCCACTGTTATTAAGATGGTGGTAAGTTTTAATCGTGGTGCCCGTGGCCAGAATGCACTGAGGCAGATCCTGGCACCTGTTGTGAAGGAAATCATGGATGACAAATCACTAAACATCAAAACGGATCCTGTAGACATCTACAAATCTTGGGTTAACCAGATGGAGTCGCAAACCGGAGAGGCCAGGTATAGGAACTCTTACTACTTTGCTTTTTTACTTCTCAGCTGCCTTATGTTATCTGTTTTTTGCCTCTCTGACATCAGAATTTCTCTTCACAGTTTAAACTGGCTTTAAAGAATGTTTGACTCCTCAAATCAGTTCCTGTTGAGTAGTTGTAAAATTGATGATGGAATGTGATTTAGCTGGGTACATGTATCTGAAGTTCCAAGAAAGGGACTCAGCTTCCTACAGGAAAGGGAAATAGATCTTAGCATCACCTAGTTAATGAGACATGTAAAGGAAGCTTTCTGAGCTATAAGAGACTAGTTAACAGAGAATAGTAATAGAAATGTAGACGTGTTGGTCTGGTGTAGCTGAAGCAAAATACAGGACTATGTAGCACTTTAAAGACTAACAAGATGGTTTATTAGATGATGAGCTTTCGTGGGCTAGACCCACTTCCTCAGATCAAGTAGTGGAAGAAAATAGTCACAACCATATATACCAAAGGATACGATTTTAAAAAAATGAACACATATGAAAAGGACAAATCAAATTTCAGAACAGAAGGAGGATGGGAGGGGGAAGGTGAATGTCTGTGGGCTAATGATATTAGAGGTGATAATTAGGAAAGCTATCTTTGTAATGGGTAAGATAACTAGATCCTTTGTTTAGACTCAGATGTAAAGTGTCGAATTTTAGCATGAATGACAGTTCAGAGGATTCCCTTTCAAGTGCAGATTTAAAAGGTCTTTGTAGAAGGATGCAGGTAGTTAAGTCATTGAGACAGTGTCCTTTCTGGTTGAAATGGCAAGAAACTGTTTTTTCTTTGTGATCCTGTCTAATATCTATTTTGTGGGCATTGATCCTTTGGTGAAGTGTCTGAGACATTTGTCCAATGTACATAGCAGACGGACACTTTCGGCACATGATAGCATAAATTATATTTCTGGATGCACAGGATGTGCACCAATGCACTTCTTGAAGGTCTGTGAATAAGAATAAAAGGAGTAAAAAATAAGCATGTTTACTATAGATCACCTAGCCAGGCGGAAGAGGTAAATGAGGCTTTATTTAAATGACTAACAAAATCATTCAAAGCACAGGACTTGGTGGTGATGGGGGACTTCCCCTGCCCACTTATCTATTGGCAAAACAAAACACCATGGCACAGATTATCAAACAAGTTCTCGGAATGCATTGAAGACAACTTTTTATTTTGGAAGGTGGAGAAAGCAACTAGGGAGAGGCTGTTTGTAGGTTTGATTTTGACATTTAGGAAGAAACTGAAAATGTGAAAGTCGAAGGCTGTTTTATTGAAAGTGATTGTGAAATTATACAGTTCTTCTTTGAGTGATTGCTCATGTGCGTTTGAATGAGGTGTGCGCACACCTCATGCACGGTTTCTGGAGCGTTTTTTTCCCCAGCAGTACCCATGCAGGTCGCCTCCTGGAGTGGCGCCGCTATAACGAAGCATAAATACCCCTGTCGGCGCTCCCCCTCCTCAGTTCCTTCTTTCGTTGGAGCTTCGCTGTTATTGCAACAGATCCTAGTGAGTGCTAATTATTGCCCGTTGGCAGTTGTTTCTTTCATTGTTTTCAAGTAGTTAATAGTGTTTGCAGTTCATTATCTCTCCCCTCCGGGGGAGGGGGATTCCAGGGCCGCATGGCTTCAAACCTTGTGCGTCCTGTGCTAAACCAATGCCTAAGAAGACCCCCATGAGTCTTGCCTAAAGCATCTAAGGGAATCTCATCTTACGGACTTGTGCAAGATCTGCAGGAGTTTATGAAGAGAGGCTAAAGCTACTGGGACTTTTCAGTTTGGGAAAGAGGAGTCTGAGGGGGGATATGATAGAGGTATATAAAATCATGAGTGGTGTGGAGAGGGTGAATAAAGAAAAGTTATTCGTTAGTTTCCATTATATAAGGACTAGAGGACACCAAATTAAATTAATGGGTAGCAGGCTTAAAACTAATAAGCCAAAGTTCTTCTTCACATAGCGCATAGTCAACCTGTGGAACTCCTTGCCAGAGGAGGCTGTGAAGGCTAGAACTATAACAGAGTTTAAAGAGAAGCTAGATAATTTCATGGAGGTTAGGTCCATAAAATGCTATTAGCCACGGGGTAGGAATGGTGTCCTTGGCACCGTTCCCATTCTCGGCACCACCCGGTAGCTGATGAGTTACAACAGAGATGGCCCCGCATGCCCAACCGCCGTGGCCGTTTTGGATGCCTTGGGCTTATCATCAGTGGCAGGGGCCAATGCATCCTCCCAAGGGTCCAGTGTCTTGCATCGAAGGAGCACTCCGTCTGCCTCGGCATTGAGACCACCCGTGTCATCTAGCCCACAGAGACAGGAGGGGGTAGAGGAATCGTCCACTGTGGCAGACCCGCCACCTGCCCAGGTGGAGCCTCCGCAAGCTACCCAGTCTCCAGAGGTGGGAGAAGGTCCTGCACTCACTCGGGAGTCCTCCTCGTTGTCCCCAGACGAAGCCCTGGCGGACCTGGCCCCGTCCATGCCGTCGGTAGATGCTTGGGTGCACCAGGAGCTGCTTCGTAGACTGGCAGCTAACTTGGGGGGTGCAAGTGGAGCCAGTGACTGAGGACGCTGACCCAGTGGTGGACACAGGGGCTAAGATCACGAATACCTTGTGGCAGGCCCCAGTATCTATTACCCCCACTCTCAAAGGGGTTGAGAAGAGGTACTTTGTTCCTCAGTTGGGGCATGAGCACCTCTACTCGCACCCAGTTCCAGGCTCATTGGTGGTTCAGGCCGCCGCTCAAAAAGAAAGGCAAGGGCAGGCCAGCCCTACACCAAAGTCCAGGGAGCCTAAGCGCCTTGACCTGATGGGTTTCAAAGTCTATGCCACAGGCGGTGTCCAGCTACGCATTGCTAACCGGCAAGCGATGTTGAGTCGATATGCGTATAACGCATGGCAGATGATGGATAAGTTCTGGGACAAGCTGCCCCCAGATTCTAGGCAGGAGTTTGCAGCCATGGCTACTGAGGGGAGGACCATAGCAAGCATGGCCCTGCAGGCTGCACTAGACTCAATGGACTCAGCTGCTCGGACCATGGCCTCTGGTGTGGTCATGCATCGAGGCGCATGGCTGCAGGTGTCAGGGATTCCTCTGGACGTGCAGGCTACGATTCAAGACCTGCGGTTGCATGGAAAGTTGCTGTTCTGTGAGCATACTGACTAGAGGCTGCATAGCCTGAAGGTTACTAGGGTCACACTCAGGTCGTTGGGTATTCATACACCAGCCCCCCCAAAGGAGACAGCTCCCTGCTAGGCAGCCAGGAAGGTCGTAGTTTCAGCCTTCCCGGCCGGACCAATGAGTCATTGCCCTCGTAGTTCGAGTGGGGGTATCAGTAGTGCCGTAGGGGCCTCTTCGTCTTGAGTTAGGTGTCGTTACCTGTGGGGCAACGCAGATAGGGGCATGGGCCCACCCTCCAACCAGCAGGCTAAGCAGTCATTTTGAAGGTGCGCACGAGGACCCTGTGCCAGCCCCCACCGTCACCCCGCTGTTTGGGGACAGGTTGTCCCATTTTTTCCGAGACTGGGCCTGCATTACTTCCGACAAGTGGGTGCTGGGTTTGGTAAGGATGGGTTACTCCATCCCCTTTCTCAGTTTGCCACCTTCCCTCTCTCCCTCCCAATCCCTCTTCAGGGACCCTTCTCATGAGGTCCTACTCTGTCAGGAGGTCCTCTCGCTCATCGAAAAAGGAGTGGTAGAAAGGGTTCCTCCTCACTTGGAGGGCAGAGGGTTTTATTCCCATTATTTTATTATCTCCAAACGGAAGGGTGGGCTCTGGCCTATCCTGGATCTCAGAAAGCTCAACAGGTCGATAAGGAAAATGAGGTTCAGGATGATGACTCTGGCCTCCATCATTCTGGCCCTAGAATTAGGGGACTGGTATGCGGCCCTCGCCTTAAAGGATACCTATTTTTATGTGGCCATTTGGCCAAGTCACAGGAGATTCCTCTGATTCGTAGTGGCACAGAATCACTTCCAGTTTACCTTGCTCCCCTTTGGGCTTTCCGCTGCCCCAAGAGTTTTACAAAGTGTATGGCTGTGGTGGCGGGTTTTCTCAGAAGGCATGGAGTACAGGTTTTTCCGTACCTGGATGACTGGCTCATTCGAGGCCGGTCCAGGGACCAGGTGGTAGCCCATATATCATTTTCAAGAATGCTTTTCGGGGAGCTCGGCCTCATGATAAACGAGGAAAAGTCGTTCTTAACCCCTTCTCAGGACACAGAGTTCGTAGGGGCTTACATAGATGCCAGAAGAGGTCAGGCTTGCCTCCCTAAGGCCAGATTCCAGGCGATGACTGCCATGGTGCACGACCTGATGCTATCCCCACTCACTACGGCTCAGACTTGTATGAAACTGCTTGGGGATATGGCGGCCTGCATGTATGTTGTTTGGCACGCCAGGTTGAGACTCAGATCGCTGCAGACCTAGCTGGCGAAGTCTTTCAACCAAGCCAGAGAGTGTTAGGACTCCATTCTGACGTTATCTCAGGAGGTGGTCAGCTCCCTGCAATGGTGGTCTTGAGAGGATGAGGTGTGCAAGGGGGTGCCCTTTCTGATGGAGATCCCCTCGGTCACTCTAATAACCAACACCTCAGACAAGGGTTGGAGAGTGCATGTGGCATACCACAGGACTCAAGGGCTGTGGGCTCCTCACGAGTGAAACCTACATATAAACGTCAGGGAGTTGAGAGCTGCCAGAAGGTCATCCAAGGTCTTACTGGCCAATCTCTCGGGGAAATCAGTGTCGGCCATGTTGTATATAAACAAACAGGGGGGCTTGCTCCTCTCGCTTGTGCCAGGAGGCGGTTCTCCTTTGGGAGTTCTGCATAGCCCACAACATTCATGTCCAGGTGGCATACCTGCCAGGTTGCCAGAACACGCTGGCAGACGCATTGAGCAGGTCCTTCAGAGCCCACAAGTGGTGCCTGAAGGACATTGTTCTTCTACCTCTTTTACAGAAGTGGGGTCATCCCCAGATGGACCTGCTT